CAGCAGGTCGAGGCTGCGGTGGCTGGGAGCGGCCACTGCACTCCAGTCTGGGTGATGGAGGGAGACTCCAACTCAAACAAACAAACAAACAAAAAACAGAAGTGTGAATGGAGCCACCATGGCATAAAGGTTGAGGCACAGTTTGAAGGTGGACAGACTGGTTTGAATCCTGCTCTGTCCCCTCCCAACCGTCTGACCTGGAACAGATGACTTCAACTCTGGGCCCCAGTTTCCTCATTCGTGTAATCAAAAGAATAGTATTTACTTAGCAGGAGCATTGTGACACTTAAATGAGACAACAGAGGGTGCTTAGAAATATTTCTCCAAAGTCAATGACTAGGAAATTTTCCCAAATTGATGTCAATTCCTTGGCCCCTTGCAATTTATAATGATGGACCTCTTGAAATTCCAGGCAAAAGGGGCTTCTCTTGATGACATTTACATGATTGGAGTAAGTCTGGGAGCCCACATAGCTGGGTTTGTTGGACAGAAGTACAATGGGCAGCTGGGGAGGATTACAGGTAAGTGACTGTGAACGGGCATGGGGCAGCGGTCTGGGCAGGATGTTTATTGAAGGAGCATTATATGGGCAATCCAATTTCTTTGGGGGGAAGCTGGCTCTTCCAATTACTTAACCTCTCTGAACATGGGTCCTCTTGTGCAAAAGGAAGACCATAATAGTATTAACCTATAGTTATTATTTAATAAAGTATAAGTAAAGTGCTTTGTAAACTGTACATGCCATATGTTAAGTTAAAGATCTCAGTGGGACCTCCAAAAATGTTAGGTTAAAATACATTCCAGCAGGGCCTCCAAAATGTTAGGTTAGACCTGCTGGGGAGGGGTTGTATGAACCGCGAGAAAGATGCAAAGAATTGCACAGAAGTTACATGGGAAAATATAGTTTATATAAAAATATATAAACTATATTTTCCCATGTAACTTCTGTGAGACAACGTGAGAGAGAGAGAAGAGGTTCACCTCTTCAAGTTAGGGGAGGAGGACACGGTTAGGAAACATGGCGACCATGGCTCAAGGAGCCACATGCTTAGATCATGGCTTAGCAGAGCAGACTGGCTCCTTGAGGTGGAATGCTATTAAACATTCCCCTTTGTTGGGGGCAGGTCATTAAGGTGGTTGAGTGATGGTCTGCTACACATCACAAAGGGGCAGGTAAACGCAGGTACTGATGGTGGGTGATGGACAGCAGGCAGATGAATGTGTTAGTCACATGACTGCTGCCATGGTGATGGAATCTGTTTGTGTCATGAAGGTCATGAAGAGCCAATTAGGTTAACTTGTTTACAAAACAATCTGGGGAGGGCATTGTGAAGCAATTATCAATAGCTACCTCTGAGAAGCTGGTTCTGACCTTGGCTAGTGATTAGAGGGTAAAGTGAAATGCTAGAGAAACATGACAATTCTAAGCAATGTTAAAATGACTGCTCATTGGGTATATTGACTCCATGTTATGTCCTTTCATCATAGAAAAGATTAGTGGTGATTCTGTTTTTCTTATGGCTGGAAAAACAGCTATGTCCCATGGGGATCTGATCTGTGTACCCCAAACAGCCTTTTCCCCTTCGTTTAATCCAAGATAGTTTTGGCTATCTACCTTATACACTTTAGATCCTAGGCACAACAAGAGGCTTGGCTTGTGATAAGAAAATGAGATGGAAATTTTGGTGGCTGAAGCATTCTCTCTAAATATCAGCTTTCAGGCCAACATTGAAAAAAACACTCAGAAACACAGCAGGTCACATCCCAAACAATGAGTCCTGTGCTGGGATCTCTTGCCTAGTGCTTAGAAACTTTCCACAGCTACATGTGAAGAGCTAAGGGTAGCTCCTTTTCCAGCGACTCGAGGCCTTTCCTTTTCACTTTTCGGGAACCCATCCTCACACCTGGAGGGTTCTTTTAAATGTAGGGAAACTGAAAAGGTAGAAGTGGATGGGGGCAGGGGAGAGGTACATTATTCAAACCAACGACACTTGGAAGGTAACCTTTTAGGACTGCGAGTCTGAATGTGCTATTTAAACTTGGCAGGTAGCCCTGAGCAAGTTAATGTCATCTCTCTGTCTCTCTTTCTTTCACACACACCCCAGTTGACTGGCATCTCTTTCAGCCCTGGCACTTGAGGTCCCATTGTTTGTCCTGGAGGTTTTTTTCTCACTCTCATCCCAAAGACCAAGGCTGTGCTCATCTTATTTACCTGTTTTCCTAGGGATGCAAGGCTCCTTTTATTTTATTATATATTTGTTTGGATTGGAGTCTCACTCTGTGGCCCAGACTGGAGTGCAGTGGCCGCTCCCAGCCACCGCAGCCTCGACCTGCTGGGCTCCGGCGATCCTTCCTCCTCAGCCTTCCAAGTAGCCGGAATTACAGGCATGTGCTACCACGCCCGGCTGATTTTTTGATTTATTGTAGAGATGAGGTCTTGCTGCCCAGGCGGGTCTCGAACCCGCGGGCTCAGGCAATCCACTCACCTCAGCCTCCCAAAGGCGTGGAATTACAGGCTGAGCCACCGAGCCCGGCTGCTCCTTTTATGTTTTAAAGTTCATTGTTATTAGGTTTTAGAAAACAATGCATCTTTACTTCTTACAAATTTCATTTTCCCTCATATGTAGAAAGAACAAATGGCTTGACTTTGCCTGTGTCCCTTATCTGTCAGGAGTTCCTCTTCTAGTGGTTAAAAAAAGAAGGAAGAGAAGAGGAAAAAGTTCTGATTTGTAGCTTTTGCTGTTTTCTGTGGTGTAAATGCTCATTGACCTCAGGGTTCGGGAAGAGATGAGCTTAATCGTCTCTCCAGTGCTGGCACTAGAGGGCGCCAGTCGTGGGCGCGCCAGCCCCCACTGCCTCGGTCTGTCTATGCCCTAGTTTCACCCCTTAGCCTCCCAACAAACCTGTTCCACAATTACTTTGAATGAATTAAGATGTACTCTAGTTTCTGACCATGCAAATTCCCCAAGCCCACCTTCCTTTCACTGTGGGCTCATAGGGCGCTGTCCCATGGTCTGGAGCCAGCCAGTGGTCCACAGCTCAATTTTGTCTCCAATGACTTCATCATGTTTTCTAGGTTTCTCCTCATCCCTGAGACCCAAGGTCAACCTCAGCTGTTGCCAGGAGCAGCCCTGGGAGGAAAGCATTTCTCCTCCCCTCCGCTTCCCCTTGCCTGGCCTGGGTGGATGGGCTCACTGGATTGTGGGGTGAGAATGTGGCCCCTTATCCAAGGACACAATTCACTTCCAACTCCCAAGAATTGGATGGGACTGCGGGCCACTTATCTGGTCCTTGGTGGCTGTCTCATCTCTTCCATTTTCCTTTCTTCTACCTTTCCTTTTGCTCTTCCTTTCTGGGCACATTTCCTGGTTTTACTTGGCATTAACTTATTTAACAGAAGATGGCAGAGGCTGAGCGGATTTTAAAATATTTCAAGTACTTGCGTCACTTGTGAATACGTTAAATTTGATTCTCAAACTTATCTGTGTTTAAAACTCACCTTGGAGTGTTGGTTACAACACTGATTTGCTGAACGGGAATCTCCACGGTTGGAGTCAGGAGTTTGTATTTTTAACTAGAAGATGCAGGTGGTCTGAACATCATACTTTGGGAAGTGACCTAAGAGCTGTGCTGTCCAGTACATTAGCCACACGTGGCCACTGAGCACTTGAAATGTGGCCAGTGCAAACTGAGATATGCTATAAGTGCAACACGTACACTAGATTTCAAAGACTAAGCTCAAAAAAGTTTTTAAAATTTCAAATATTTCATACTAATTACAAGTTGAAATGATAATATTTCAGACATACTGAGGTAGATAAAATATTATTATTATTTTTGAATTGGAGTCTTACTCTTGTTGCCCAGGTTGGAGTGCAGTGGCACGCTCACAGTCACCACAGCCTTGAACTGCTGGGCTCAGGTGATCCTTCCTCTTTAACCTTCCAAGTAGCTGGAATTACAGGCACATGCCACCGTGCCCACCTAATTTTCTGATTTATTGTAGAGATGAGGTCTCACCAAGTTACCCAGGATGGTCTCGAACTCCTGGGCTCAGGCAATCCTCTCACCTTGGACTCTCAAAGTGATGGGATATAGGGCCACCATGCCTGGCCTTCTTTTTCCTTATAAGTAAAAAGTCCTTCTCAATAAATCATATTCTTTT